GTTGCCCTTTGCGCTCCTCGTAAGGCTCGGGGTCAAAGGGAGAGTTTGGGCTCCTTTTGGGGAGCTCGGACCGCTGGTTCCTCCTTTCGGAGCTCGCACCTTGAGCATACTACCGTGCCGAGCTGTTGCCCCTGCCACGTGTTGAGTGGTCAAGAGGTCGGGCCAAATCTTCTTTCATCGGGTTGAAAAATTGTTGAACCAAAGCCGATCAATTATACTAAAAAATAGAACAACTCGGATCGAGTTTGATCCGATTAATTATTAGAAAGTTAAAATATAATACAATTATATATTTTTATGTATTTCTATTGTTTAACATTCGCTTAACAAAACCTATGCATCACACAATTCCGTATATATATATATATATATAAAAGAAAGAATTCCTAAAAACAGATGTTTTGAAACAGCTATCAAATGTATCATATCAAAAATTTTGATCCTTAAATGTATGACATGTTAGAAGGGCATTGGAACGAGTTGATACATTGACACTTCACACACACTATTAGTAGATTCGAAAGAGTTGGAATCTTCTACCAATGGAACATATTCTAATGGACCCACCATAAAAAATTGGGACCCGCCGCCATATATGAAATGTGCGGTGTGAGATCATATTGGTTGGTTGTTGGAATGTAATTTATTTACAGGTAATCCGGACTCGAATTGAAGTACTTTTGTGGGGAGCAGATCAATTATAAGCGCTACGCGCAGACGCAACCGCGTGTAATTAAATTTACACGGAAAATTAGGGAAAAATAAAATTAGCGATAATAGTTTCCGCAAATGAATAAAAAAATAATAATAATTCCCGTACATTTACGGTTTTACCCAAAAAATGAAAATCTTAACGCGTTGACGGTAGTTATTATGTACGTGCACCTAATCTGAGTCTGATTCCCTTGAGCCTTGATTGACCGTCTCTCTCACTTGGTCACTTCCCGTGTGGCCGGTTCCCGGACGCGGTTCGCCGATTCGCCGACCCTAATCATACTCGGGTCCGGTGTGTGGTCAATAATTTGAGAATTGCGAAATAATGGAATCGGGTCGATGGGGTATCTGGTAATTTAAGAAAGGATGGAAGTTGTAACTTCTAATTTGAAAGGAAAAAAAATTAAGTACATTGCAACTTAATGCAGAATTCTGAAAGTTTTGACTGAACTGATCAGTCATTCTCCCAACAATCTATATTCTATCATACCAAAATACATGTACCGGAAGAGTTTTGCTGCTTTGGCCAATCAAAGCATCATGTGATTGGTCATACGATTGATTGGCTATAAGTTTTTGGGAGAATGACGGTTCAGCCCTCTTCTCGGACTGAAAAAGGGATTTAGTGACTCGGATCATGGCTGATTCGGTGAATTACTGACCCGGTTGATTTAGTGTTCTCTACCCAGTATCCTTCATTTGATCCCTTTAGATCGACACCATCCACTGAAAATTTCAGCCTCATTTGAAGCGTTCAACGAGCGCTGGCCGTTTAATGTCGGCATTTTCTGTGGATCCATTAGTGGGTCCCGATCTAGTAATTGCAACATGTTCTGAAAAAGTGAAAACACCGCAAATTATTGATTTATTCCACCCAAATTTTAATAATTAATTGAACTACCGAAAAGAATCTTCTATGAAATCACTGTATGAACAAACTCTGCATCGACGAAAGTCCCGAGTCCTGAACAGCACCTATATATATTCCTTTCAATCGGTCGTTGATCTCATCAGTGATTCTCTCTCTCTTTCTCTGTTTTTATTCTCAGCTGCTTAGTAGCAAATTGCTTTTTTGTAAGCCTTTGTAGTAGATAGATTGATATTTTGAGAACGAAGGAAGATGTTCCGAGTGAGTAACAACTTGATCGGAATTCTGAACTTCGTGGTCTTTTTGTTCTCGGTTCCGATCTTCGGAGGTGGAATATGGCTGGCAAACAGAGCGAGCACCGACTGCGAGAAGTTCCTCGAGAAACCCATTATTGCTCTGGGGGTGTTTCTCATGTTGGTGTCTCTTGCCGGACTCATCGGTGCGTGCTGCAGAGTCTCATGGCTTCTCTGGGTTTATCTCTGCGTGATGTTCTTCCTCATCSTTCTTCTTTTCTGCTTCACGATCTTCGCTTTCGTTGTGACTAACAAGGGAGCAGGAGAGGTTCTGTCGGGCAAAGGGTACAAGGATTATAAATTGGGGGACTATTCAAATTGGTTGCAGAAGAGGGTTAACAACAACAAAAACTGGAACAAGATCAAGAGTTGCTTGATGGATAGCCATGTCTGCAATAGCCTTAGCGATGCCACCGACACAGTTGAACAGTTTTATGCTCGGCACTTATCTTCGATCCAGGTGTGTAACATCATACCCTTGTTTCCTTTCGTTTTATTTATTCTTTATGTATGAATCTGAATGTGGGTATTTTTATTTTTTCCAGATGTTGGTTTTCATTTTTTGTTTTCTGAGTATTTGTCATAATTTCTCAAAGAAACAGAATCGGATTCATCTATATTTGCTTTTTTTTTTTTCTTCCTTTTTCTTTATCAACTTTGGGKATTTTCATCTTGAAACTTTTTGGTAGATACCTCCCATTTTTGGATTTTCTACTTTTCTCTTCCTGTTTGACAGCATTATTCCTTGAAACAGAGATTAGAAAAATTTTCCTTCAGTTCTTGGTAGAAATCACAGATGGGTTTGGGTATCTACCATCTATCACCACAACTGTATGACTGAATTTTCACTGCATTTTTGTAACTTGGTTTATTAGAAAACTACTGATTTAAGCATGGCTTTCTTTTTTATTGATTGCTCAACATTGGGTTTGTAAAACATTGGTTTCTGTTTTTTTTTTCTTTCTATTCAATTTTGATAGCTCAGTCTTTTCTCAGATCCCGTTTAGATAAAAGTTCAGTTTTTTACAATTCATTTTTGCCAGACTGTTGTTCTTTCTTTTCAATTGAAGCAGAACAGTTTGAATTCTTATGTTTTCTAGTTGAAAATTTGATATCCACCATTACATCAAAATCTGATGCAATCGTTTGCTTGTTGTGATTGCAGTCGGGATGCTGCAAGCCTCCAACGGAATGCAATTTCCAATATGAGAGACCAACGGTCTGGAACAAAACAAACACAACAAGCACCCTAACTGATTGTACTGCTTGGGACAACCCCGCCGGAGAGCTGTGCTTCAACTGCGACTCTTGCAAGGCCGGAGTGCTGGACAACCTCAAGAAGGATTGGAAGAAAGTTGCCGTTCTCAACATTATCTTCCTCATCTTCCTCATCATTGTCTACTCCATTGGTTGTTGTGCTTTCAGGAACAACAGAGAGGACAATTACTATTCTGGATGGAGGAAGAGATACCCTTAGACCAGTGTAGAGACTAGACTAGGAAGGGAAGGATTTGCAGTATATCTTCGTTTATTTCACTAGCTTCTTGATGTGTTCATCTACCTTATTTTGCTCATTTCTTCATTTCTTTTCGTGTATAGACATCTGTATATTAGTTTGATCAGACTTGTCATTTGTGTCTTAAGCTTCTACCCATATTGGTGCTTGAAATTCTTTCAATCCAAATAACTGCTTGTTTTGTTCAGAAGTTGCTTGCAACCCTTCTTTCTGTTAAATCATTTCTCAGAAGAAAGCTTCTGAGTGCTGTCATGGTTGGTAAGTTGGTAGACCTACCCACCCATGGGAACGTCTCTGTGACTGCTCCAGTTGGCAGGGTAGAGGTGTAAAACGGGCCGTGCCAGGCCGCCTACGGCCCACGCAAAGTGTGGCCCATCCTGGGCCGTGTTGCCCTCTCAGGGATAATTTGGGGGGGTCGGCCCGGCATGGCCCATGGCCCAAGCCCATGCGGGCCCATGCTGTGGGCCTGGCTGGGCCAACTGCAGACCATGCTGTGGCTAGGCCATGGGCGTGGACTGAACCGGGCCAAACTATTTTTTCATTTCTTTGTTTCTTTGTTTTTTGACATTTTTGATTTTTTTTTTATTTCTTTGCCAAGTAAAACTAAAATATTTAATTTTTCTTTGGGAATTATTTGAAAAATAAGAAATCTAACAAAGAAATAAAAAAAAATACTTAACCATATAAGAAGTCAAAGAGACAGACTCATTGAAAAAATATAGGAATTTTATTTCATTTAAATTTGAATGATACAAAACATACAATGGTTGGATGAATGAAATATGAAAATTGGAAAATGGAATAAATTAATAAAATATAAAAAATATAATATAGTTACAAATTGAAAATAAAAATTATGTTATTAAAAAATCAAATAAATTAAATAAAATTGAATCATAATTTATAATAATTTGAAAAAAATGCTATACAGCTTCTCTTGTAATCTATCTTTAGTATATAGTCAATTTTTAAAGTAGATACACATCTCTAGACTTTCATCATTTGTACAACTTCTCTTGTTGTCCAACTCTCTAGTACCTTTATTAAAACAAGACTCCGATGGAATTGTAGACACCGGAGGAATTAATAGATCATGTGCCATGGTGGCGAGAACAAAATAATTTTTTTTTTTTTATGTTCACTCCACCAGGCTAAAATATCAAAATTATTTGTTCCCTCCAAGGTTAAGGAAGAATCACGTAAAGTAAAAAAAAATTGTTTGTAAATAAAAATTAAGTTCAACAATGAACTTGTTATCGATGTAGTGGATTTTTGCCTCTTACTTATTAAATAAAAAGATATTTCTTCTACTGGACTCAAGTTCAGAAGTGAAAGATGCAGCTGTACAAGTTAAAGAAAGTTTTATTATTCCATGTTACTTCAGATTCATATAAACTATACATTTCAAATAATAAACTATTAATTTCTTCTTTTTTATTTCCAATTTCAATATTCATATTTTCACAATATGTTTCAAGTAAAATATCTAAACCATCTTCTTAATCCTAGCATTTAATATTGTAACTAAGCAATAAAAAGGAGAAATATTCTCCCAATATTTTTTAAATTTATTTTCAATTATTTCAACAATACTTTTAAACTGTGGATTATTTCTATATTTTGCAAAACAATCACTAATCATCATTAATTGATAAGCTAAATTATAATTAGTTGGATAATAAATACCCGATAATTCATTAGTTGCATCATAAAACTGTTAAAAAAATCTCTTATACAAATTGTCATTTCCCAGTCTTCTTCAAATATAATATCAATAGGCACTTTTGCTTTATAAAAATCACTAAGAATTTGTTTGTGGGAAATACAACTTTTTAATATAGCATAAGTAGAATTTCTTCTATGTTTAACATCTAATATAAAATGTTTATATTTTAAACCATAATCTTGACATAAATATTTAAATTCTTGTTTTCCTGCTCTAGAAATTTTAATATATATATATATATATAATACAATTTCTAATTTTAGAAATATGAGTAGAAATAATATTTAAAGCATCCTGAATACATATAAAATAATTTAAACATGATTTTAATTGAAATTTTAAAATATTTATTGTTGAATCATTATTACTAGATTATCAAAACTAATAGAAAATAATTTATTGTCAATTCATAAGCATGTAAAGTATTTAAAATACTTGCAACAATAGCTAGGCTAGTATGTGGCCATTCAAGCCTAGTAAAACTTAAAATTATTTTATTTAAAAGCCAATTTTCTTCAATAAAATGACCGGTAATACAAATATAACTTATGTTAAATTTAGAAGTCCAAATATTAGAAGTAATTGCAACTTTAGAATTAAGATTTGATAACATATAAATTAAAATTTGTTTATATGAATAAAAAATTTTTAAAGCATCTAATCTAATAGTATTCTTAGAAACTTTTTTAAATTGTGGATTTATAGAATTATGTAACCAATTTTCAAGTTTAGTATCTTTAGCTAACAAAAATGATTGTTCAGCATGTACAATTTATTTTGCTAATTCTTGCCTCATTTTTTCTTGAGAATATTTAAAAGTACCAAGACCCTCTGCTCAATTTATGTTTGTGTTGTTTCTGTCCCTCCTCCTCCTCCTCCTTCTTATTCTTCTTTCTCATGGGTGAACAAATGTTTGCCCAAATGGTCAGTACCACTTTTGCTACAATAGCTAAAGTCTTTCCTACATTATTGGCAAACAACTCTTTTTCCCTTCCACTGAACCTCCTCTATTTTAAATATTTTCCAAACCAAGTTAATCAACTTAGTGGCCTTCTTTTTCTTTCCCCTAGTATCATTACTAGGGGTGGAAGTTTCATCAATATCAATAACATCCATATTGGTGCTAATACTACCATGCTATAATTGAATATTGTCGACATTGAACATATTGGGGAATTGGTTTTGCTCATTGTAAAGTTATTTAACACTTTACCCAAAATGCCTCCAAACTAGGTGTTATATAGCTATTGGGGGGCATTTGTGTCATTCTTTCTCCACCCCAAAACTAAAATACATAAACACCCCTCCTTTATAGCTATTTATAGTTGTTGGGAGGGGGGTATTTTTATAAACCCCCCCAAAAGCTGAAACTAGTCGTTGGGGCATTGGACAAGCCGAGCGCGGCCTGCTACAAGCCCGCGAGCCGGGTTGTGTCGCGTGCTGTCCCAACCCATGGACCTAGAACCCCAGGTCTAGCACAGCCCAGACCATTGTGCCAGGCTTGACAGGGCCCGCGTACCATGCCGAGGAGGCCTGACACTGATTTGCACCTCTATGAGAGGGTGCCAGAGCCCAGAGGCTAGGTCATCCATTTCCGTTTTGTTCTTAGTGCATTGATTYAGTGTCCACCTCTGTCCTTTTAGTAGGTTCCATCTTCCAAGTTTGAAGTAGACCTATCAATGGTCTAGGCCACCCACACACGCCCTTAAGCCTAACTTCTCAAACCTTGTTACACAGGATTTGAACCAGCATTCTGGGTCCTGATTATAATAAGAAATCTGTTTTGACCTAATTAAGACCTGAACCAATTTTACATATTTTCACATGATAAATGATTCTTCCAACATTATATATATATATATATATATATATATATATAATTTAGTAGAGGGTTTTTCTCCTAAATTATCTCTAATTCTTATTTATCTTCTCCCACACTTTTTATCTACATCTATCTAAATAAAGTTTGAATTAAAGAAATTAAGAATTATTTAAATATTCAAACAAAATTATATAATAATTTTAAAATATTTATTAAAAAGACCAAAAATAATTATAATCGATTTAAAAATATTCATATTATTAATAATTATATATTTTTAAAAAATCACGAAATTATGTACAAACAATATAAATTATGATTTTCTGGATTATTCAAACTAAATGTTATTCAAATAATAAAAATCTAACATTAATGATGAAAATATTTTAATAAATAAATAATATTATAAATAACTAATTTCTTTTATACCAATTAATAATTCCACAAAATAACTTTCAAAAAATTTATTGTTTATTAATGATAATTTAAAAACTTAATCTTTATTTATTACATATTTATCTATAATAAAATTAATATTTATTGTATTTTAGTAATTATTTATTGTTTTTTGTGATAAATATATTTTCAATAATTATGTATGAATCTATTTTTTTGTTATTTAATAGAAAATTTTCAATAACTATTGGAGTTTAAACTACTGTTATTTAGCTTTTTAAATTAATTTATTGTGTATTTTTTCTATAAATTTGTAATAATTATTGGAGATTAAAATATTGTTCACGGGTTGGTTTGGCTAAATTGTAGGTTGTTTGGCCAACCAAATCGAGATGGTTAGGTTGGGGGGTTGGTCAGTTAGGTTATATCAGTTTCGATCAATTTTTGGTTTGGTTAGTCAGTTCAAAAGATGTAAACTTAAAAAGTTACAATGGTATTATTAAAAAATAAATTTATGATATAAACTATTTTAGCCTAAAAAGTATTGAAATTTTCCCATATTAAAAAGTATATTTAAAATATAAAATATTAATATATATCTATGGTCAGGTCGTTCGATTTTAGTGAGTTTACAAATGGCCAATGCAAAACTGATCCAACCTAGTAGAGTTGGAAAATTGTTGAACCAAAGCCAATTGGAAATACTAGAAATCAGGTTGGTTAGTTTCATTAGTTTGATTTGGAATGGCGACGGAGCAAGGCGGGGACGAGGAGCCTCTCCCCATTCCCATCCCCGCGAAAATCCCCATCCACGCTAAAAGGGAGAAAGTTTTCTCCATCCTCATCCCCATCTCCATGGGAATCTCCACTTCTCGTGATTCTTTATAATGTCAACCATTATGTTTTTGTTTTCTATTTTATTTTAAAAATAAAAATTAATTAATTAAAATTTACAATCCTATTAGAAAAGATTCAAACATATTCAACCATATTCTTTAAAATTTACACATACATAAACGTATGTGTACATATATACATATATAAACGTATGCATATAAATTCATATATATTAGCGGGGATCCCATGGGGCAGGGATTGGGGTCCATGCGGGGCAGGGAGTACTCTCCTTATCCCCGTGGGGGGGAAAAATCATTGCCATCCATGCCCCATTCGGGGCAGATCCCCACCGGGGTCAAGGGAAAATGGGGAAAATTGCCATCCCTAAGTTTAACAAACAACCTTA